ATTGTCACTAAATGTCAGTGTCCCACTTTCTGTCATTACCTACACATGGCATAACTCTTTTGTTTTTTTGCTTCTGCAGATAACCTTGTCTCACTCTCCAATTTCCTTTGCTGTTCAAATTTATCTTTCATTCAGCTCTTTAAATCCCTCTTTTTTCTGTGAAGGCATGTATATCAATTCAACTGGGGAATTAGATAGAATAGAAGTTAGATCTTCCCATAGAAATCCTGTAATTCCTCAGAGAGAGAGAGACAGAGAGAGACAGAGACAGAGACAGAGACAGAGACAGAGACAGAGACAGGCACTGTGTGTGTGTGTGTGTGTGTGTGTGTGTATCTGTGTGGTATTTAAGTGTATATTTCAGCTGTCCATGCATTCAACTAATATTCACTGAAGTCTCACTATTACATTGAAACAGTGCTAGGTTCTAGGAATACAAATATAAATTAGGTTCCTGCTCTGGCAGAACTAATATATTCTAGTGGAGGACACAGACACATAAATAGATAGTTAGGAAGCAATGCAGCGAGTATGACGCGTGTGAAGGAAGCATTAGGGAGGGACAGTTAACGCATCTATCCGAGGAGCTGGCCGCGTCTTTAGGGGAAGCGGGGCTCCCTGAGACTTGCACGAGAAGCAACAGCCCCTTGGGAAAGGGGAGAAAGAACAGGGCGCTGAACACTTTGGGCAGAGGGGTCAGGGTGAGCCAAGCACTGAGGATAAAACAGCCAAGTGGCAGCATGGAAACCATAGGCCAGAGACGAGAGACACACAACCTGGGCTTGTAGACGGATCAGGGAGAACTTAGAGGGGCAGGAGCTAAGCATATTCCTAGGAAACCAGAAAAGAGGACTTTAATCAGAATGATAGGGCCGGATTTGAATTGTAGACTTCTCTGAGACGTGGAGGGGATGAGACCGGAGCCCAGAGATAGGGCAGAGGGTCAGGAGAGTAGGCGGGTCCAGAGCTGCAGGGGGCCATGTCCGGAGCAGCGGTAGGAGGGGTAGAGAAGAGGGGATGTACTCAGGGTTCTCCAGCGAAACAGAGACAATAGGACAGATGTGTGTCAGGTACACTCATGTGCCCCTCACAATGGGATACTTTCTGGGGAATGTGTCCTCTGGGACTTTGTCCTTGAGCAAACATCACAGAGTGCACTTACACACACCTAGATGGTCCAGCCTATTACATACCTAGGCTGTGTGGTACAGCCTCTCGCTCCTGGGCTACACGCCTGCACGGCTTGTTCCTGTGCTGAGTACTGTGGGCAGCTGCAACACAGTGGGACGTGTGTGCTTACCTAAGCACAGAAAAGGTACCGTAAAGTACAGTATAGAAGGTAAAATGTGGTATAGCTGTCTAGGGCACTTTCCATGAATGGAGCCTGCAGGGCTGGGGTGGCCCGGGGTGAGTCTGGGTGAGTGGTGAGGAGATGAGAAGGCCAAGACCTTACTGTACATGATGGTGGACATTATAAACATTGTACACTGGCTACGCCAATTTATAAAGCAACACAAGAGTAAATGAAACACAAGAGAAAATGATGCACTCAAGAAACGCAGTAAACACAAGATACATGAGGCTTACTGTTTCATGGGAAACTTTTTTTAAGGGGTACACTCTATAATAATGAAAAGAGTATAATAATAAGTACATAAAACAGTCATTTCTCCTTATCATCAAGTACTATACACTGTACGTAATTGTGTCTGCTGTAGTGTCACACCACACGACCCACAGACGTGTGATCAGTGCTTTGCGCTATGACTTTGTAACAGCTACGACCTTAAGGCGGCAAAGACGGCCGTGACGTCACTCAGCCGTAGGAATTTTTCAGCCCTGTTACCGTCTTGTGGAACCACCATCTACGCTGCCTGTCACTGGCTGGAATGTCACTGTGTGGCACGTGACTGTGTACGTGAGGAGAGTCAGCACAGCAGTTGGCTCCAGTGGGTACGGACGCCTTGAAGTCCTTCTGTCCCCGTCGGGGAGCTGGAGAACCAGGAGAACCAGCCTGAAGGTCTGAGAACCAGGGAGGCCGTTGGGGGTGGGTGGCACTGCTGGTATAATCCCCGGCTTCCTCTGGCCTGAGAACTTGGAGCTCCGATGTCCAGTGTCCCAGGGCAGGCAAAGACAGATGCCCAAGCACAAGCAGAGATGAAGGGAATTCGCCTTCCTCTGACGTTTTGCTCTGTCCGAGTCCTCAGGGGACCGTGTGGTGCCTGCCCACGTCAGGGAGGGAGGATATCTTCACCCAGTCCACTGATTCCAAAGCGATCTCTTCCGAAACACCCTCGCATCCAGATGTGCTTCAGTTGCTAGCTGGGCATCTTCGCGCTCCTGCAAGCTGACAGGAAATTAACCATCACAGAGGGCAGGCCAGAGCAATGACATAGAGTCAGGTCTGAAGAGCTTTGCCTAGAGATGAGGAAGAAGGCGAATGTGTTTATCACGAACTGGCCCGTACAAGTGGTGCTGCAGTTTCTTCAAAAGAAATGAAGACTGTTCACATGTATCGAGATAAGAAAATGGGGACATTTCTGGCAACTGATGAGATGCCATGTCACCAGATGTATATTTACAGTTTAAGTGTCTGTTTTATATTTTCGCTCTTAATACTTCCATTTTTGGCAGTTAAGGCCTCGGGTGAGTGTTAACTCCAGTGACGTGGTCTGTTGACCCAGGATCCAGTAGAACAGGCATTTTATTCGATCTCGTAAACACTTTGAACAATTATAATTCCAAGACTAAAATTAGTGCTTCCTAACTGGAGGGCTCGCACAGAACATTTAAGTGCTTCTCTCTCTGGTCTCAGAAGATGGGGAGGAGATTGGCATTCGGTTCACATGAGGACGTACGTTCACTCTGAGTGTCGTTATGAAATCGCACTGCAACCCACTTGCTTTCGGACTTGAACGCTGGAAAGGATGTGGAGTGGAGCCCGGACACCCAGTAGTTTCATACCCTCCTCTAGTCCGAGGCCGAAATATGTCAGATCCTGTCACTTCTCTTGTTTGGTTCCTTCATTTATACAATGAAGGTGGCTTAGGTCAGGGGTCAGAAATACAAATGCCTGCATGGGCAGGACAGGTGACATACATGTTAGTGTACGTCACTCTATCACATTATTATTATTTTAAAATATATTTGTATTGATTTTTTTTTTTTTTTTACAGAGAGAGGAAGGGGGAGAGAGAGAGAGAGAGAGAAACATGGATGTGAGAGAGAAGCATTGATTGGCTGCCTCCTGCATGCCCCCTCCTGGGGACAGAGCCTGCACCTGGGCATGTGCCCTGACTGGGAATCGAATGCGTGACCACCTCTTGGGGCATGGGTCAATGCTCAACCACTGAGCCACACCGGCTTGACTATATCACATTATTTTCTTCACACTCACAAAACCAATGCGTTGAAATTCAGTCTCTGTTACAGATCATTAAGCTTTTCCTCAGCATCCTTTCCACATACTAGTCATGGTTTTTCTCATGGTTTGTTTTCCTAAGGGCAGCTTAAGTTGTATCATTTTGTTGCAGAGATACTTTATTGGCATATTAAACCCAGAAATCTTCTTTATGTTCTAGAAAAGTTCATAAAAAAAATGGTTCACATTTTTTTCTTGGAACATGTGGCTCTTTGTTTCTTTTCCCCATTTTTGAAAATGACATGGCTGTTGGGATAAAAGTCTTTCTTTTATATTTTACTAGAAGCAGCAGTGTTAATGGAATAACATCTATCAGTTGATACTTAGCCTTGGGGTGAGGTAATAGAGAGTGGTGGGGACTGTGGCAAAGGGAGAATCTGTTTTCTATATCAGGCAGCTGCCCCTTAGCACCACTTGATGATTGGCCTTCGATACTATGAGTTCAGTAGGCATGTGTCTTCTGAAGTTTTTTCAAGAAAAACAGATTTTCTTTTCAAGAACACCTGATTATTTTACATGGCATTCTCCTGAATTTTAGATGTTGGCATCTCCGTTTCGATTTAAATAAACATCAGTAGTAGCAGCACTCAATAGTCAATGGTTCAAGCCAGGGAAGATGCCTATAAAGGTTTGAGACATTCGGGTCAAGTGATCTTATAGCTAGATTCCTTTCCTTTAGTACTTAAAAAAAAAAATATCTATATCTATCTATCTATCTATCTATCTATCTATCTATCTATCTATCTATCTATCTATCTATCTATTTAGCGACTCCTTACTATGCTCTGGGAAGACTTTAAAGCACTTGACATGTCCTAACGCATTTAATCTTCACAACAATGTTATGAAGCAGGCCCTGCTGTTACCTTCATTTCACAGATGAGAAATGGAGATGCAGAGCAACTCGCCGACGTGCCTAATGTCACAGAGCACATAAGTGGGACAGCCAGAATTCCAAGACTGGCCCTCTGGCATCGTAGCCCCAGAAAGCTCCTCCTTTATTCATGTAAACTTATATTTCCTATCTTTAAAACATATCTTATTAATGAACATTATTTTATGAAATTTATCATGGACAGTGAGCGTATTTATTTGGGTTTGTCGAAAGTTAAGGATTTATAGTATTTTTCTTTTCTTTGTGGGGAAAAGATGGGCTTATTGAGGAATGCAATATGTGTGTGGGTCAGATCGACACTGCCTACCCTAGTGAGATCAAAGAGAAGGAGATGCTGGTTAAGCTCAGAGTCTCTTTCAATTAGATCTCTTATGCAAGTAAGTGGTTGCCCTTTGATTGGCTACTGATGATCCTCAGAGGAAGTTTTGCTTTTCTGGCTGCCTCCGTACCCAGAGAAGGTTAATACAAATGGAAATTCGGCCATATATTTAAGCAATCTGTTACAGCAGAGAGATTTCCAGAGTTTTCTGGTTAAAGAGGTTTTTGAATGTACGTATGAGCAATATATGGGCTGACTTTTTATTTCAGCAAATATGAAGATGTATTATCCCTTGAGGTTTGTTATTAACCCCAGTTTCACCTCCGTTAATATTTACTCCGCAGGTCAATAAATCTTGATATGCACTCCAACAGAAGCCAATATCTTCAGATTACGAGTTATTAATCTTGGCCAAACTGAAAAATTGGGTGAGTATTTTTCTTTTACTAGAGAAAATGAGGACTTTTGGGTCTCCTTTTTCTTCAGGCTCTCTTGAAAAGGAAAGTTAATTTTTATGTGAATCTTCAAACTGCCTTTTGAGATTTAGCACTTGGAGTTGAGGGTATAGTCTGTAATACAAGTTTGGGAAAGCTCTCTGTCTCATTGAAAGTGCAGCCACTGTGGAGAACAGTGTGGAGTTTCCTCCAAAAATTAAAATTGGAACTGCCATTTGACCCACTGATCCCACTTCTAGGAATATATCCTGAGAATCCCAAAACACCAGTAAGAAACAATATATGCACCCCTATGTTGATAGCAGTGTTATTTACAATAGCTAGGATCTGGAAATAGCCCAAATGCCCAACAGTAGATGAGTGGATAAAAAAAACTGTGTTACATTTACACAGTGGAATACTATGTAGCTATAAAAAAGGATCTATTACCCTTTGAGACAGCGTGGAGGGACCTGGAGATTATTAAGCTAAGCGAAATAAGCCAGTTAGAGAAAGACAAGTATCACATGACCTCATTTATATGTGGAATCTAATGGACACAATAAACCGATAAATAAAATAAAACCAGACACACTGGCTGGTTTGCTCAGTGGTTAGAGCATTATCCCATGAACCAAGGAGTCACAGGTTCAATTCCAGTCAAGGGCAAATACCTTGGCTGTGGTTCAATCACCGGCTCTGGTTGGGATCATGCAGGAGGCAACCAATCAATGCATCTCTCTCACATCGATGTTTCTGTATCTCTCTCTCCCTCTTACTCGCTTCCTCTTTCCCTCTCAGTCTGTCTGAAAATCAATGGAAAACTATTCCCAGGTGAGGATTAAAAAAATAAATAAATAAAATAAAATAAAATAGAACCAGAGGCATGGAAACATGGAACAGACTGACGAGTCTCAGAGGGAAAGGGGGTGGGGAGAGAAGACATAACTAAAGAACTTATACGCATATATGCATTGATTGTGGACACAGACAATGGAGTGGTGAAGGCCTCGGGCCGGGGTGGGAACCAGGTGGTGGGGGACAAGGGGGGAAAATGAGGAGACATCTGTAATATTTTCAATAATAAAGATTTTAAAAAATGAATAAAATATATTGGTATTAAGCTGAAAAAAAAATAAAAGAGGTATAAAGTGTTTGTTTGTTTTTAAAAGAAAGAAAGAACTGCAGGAAGGCAGGGGATAAATCCTGTGAATACAGTCCTGCGTCAATATCTGGAGTGCTATGCGCAGGACTCTCTCGGGTACCAAAATCTGCAATGCTCTACAATTGTGTAGTATTTGCATACAAACTCTGCACATCCCTTCTTACAGTTAAACCATCTCTAGATTACTTAGATGCCTCATACAATATAAATGCTATATAGTTATTATACTGTATTGTTTAGGGAATAATTATAAGAAAAAATGTCTAGCCCTGGCCGATTTGGCTCAACTGTTGGAGTGTTGGCCTGTGGACCAGAGAGTCCCGGGTTCAGTTCCCGCTGGGGGCACATACCAAAAAAAAAGAAAAAATGTCTATACATGTTCAGTACAGGTGCAACCATCCTAGGCCTAACTATAATACACATCAGTGACAACATAACATTTAGATATATATATGTTTTATCCATGGTTGGTTGAATTCATGGACGCAGAAGCTGGATATGGAGGGTCGACTGTACCCTGATGTCGGCGGGAACTAAGAAAGATGTAGCCAAGTTCCTGCTGCTCGTCTTTGTGTTATTTACTGATGTTGCTTGACATGAGTCATAGCAAATGTAATGCATTTCTAGATCCTGCAAATGCTTTATAGCGGAGAAGAGCAGCTGCACCTGGCCTGGCTCGGGATGAAAAGCAGCAAGTGGGAAAAGACAGACGTGAGTGCTTTTGCTTTCTAGCAGCATAGGTGTTGGGATTGACATGTGCAACAGAAGCCATTAATTTTGCTGTTTCACAGGAGTGTTTCTAGTCCAGTCATCTGTGGACGCATGCCTATAATGACAAAGAAATTCAAGACTAAAGGAAATGAAACATCATAGAAGAAGTCAGAGGTCATCTTACCTGCTGGCTGGTGGTTGCTGCTCAGAAAGATGGAGAAATGTATCATTTGGAAATAGCTGTGTGGGAAGAGAAGGGAAAAGGTCTTTCCAAAGGTTGGTAAAGGGACACATTTTACAAGATTTTTAGAGATGTTTGAAGGAGAGGTGACCAAGGAGAAAGGGGGACAGTTGCTGAATGTGGTGGGGGACTCTGGTCAGGCAGACAGAGCCTCCAGAGCCCTGTTTCTCAAAGAGTAGTCCCAGGAACTGATGAGAATGCGAATGATCAGCCCCATCCCAGAGCTACTGAATCAGGAACTCTGTGGGCGGGGCCAGCAATCTGGTTGAACCAGCTCTCCAGGAGACTGTGGCACACACTCGAGTTTCAGAACGACTGCACTAGGGTACAGATTTTTCAGCCTGATTTGTACATTGCAATTCCTTGGTAGTTTCAAAAATAATGATGTCTGGGTTTTCCCTCCAGAGGTTCTGATTTAATTGGTCTGGGGCATGGCCTGGACATCAGGATGCTTTACAGTGTCCTAGATGATTTTAATGGGCAGCCCAGGTTAAGAATTACTCCAAGGCAGCAAGTTCCCAACCTAAATTGCTTTTCCAGATCTCATTCTCTCTTTTTCATATAAAATATTTTATAATGCTTCCTTAACTAACCTGGAATGAAATATATATGAATATTATTACTTATGCACATATTTTTAAACTGAAATACATGGGAGAAATAACAGAAAAGTAATTTATGATAATATGCATTCCAAACATTTTAAATTGTGGATCTGACCACACTGACGGTGCTGCAGACAGATGCTCAAGTTATTATCAGTGGGGCAGTTGCAAATGGAGATTGATCCAGGTGTGTTGAATTGGCAACTCAAGAGCTGTGGATGGCATTACTGAGGGTAACATAGTTTTCAGGAAATAACAGATCTTGGTTAAGTTTCTAACAAAATAATGAACACCTTTTAATTTCTCTGAGCCCTGGTTCAAAGTGTGTACTCAAAGGGGCAGTGACTTAGTATAGTGGCTGTCATGGTACCTCACTAAGATCCCCTTCCAGGACAGAAGCACTTATTTCTCCAGGTGCTTGGAGTACTGATGGCTGATGACCCTCAGCAGACTGTGATCCCCTGCAGAGAACTGCCTTACACAAGGTTTCTCCGAGATCATACCCCCTGCCCAGGCACAGACCTTGTTCAATGACTGGTCAGTGCTGGGTCATAACCGAGGTAGTTGTCCTCCTTAGTTCAGGACAGTTCTGCAGGGCCACCCAGCTCTGGATTTCCCTGTTGGATTGGCTTAGACCTTTGCTGCAACTGCACGGCAGCTCAACTTTTCTCCCTGTGCCGCTGGGCTCCCCTCAGCGCCCCCTGGTGTTGATTCTGAGAATACTCTCCAAGGGACCTCCCGCTGCAGAGACCGGCTCAGAACCTACTACCAGGGAACCGACCGGGAACACGGAACACCTGAGTCCTTTACTAGTCACCTGGGTTAAAGTTATCTGAAAAGATTCTTGTTTAGCACTTTACCCTATCGAGAGAGCAGCTCTGTTGCGATGGACAGGGAGCAAGCCCACGAAGTGACTCCTCGGAGCAGGAAGTCGGTGGCAGAGGAGAAGGCGAGACTCGGGCAGCGGAGGAAGGGGGCTGGCGCTGGGACCTGATCTGGTGGAGATGCGCTAAATTCAGAGGCAGGGCAGCCTCCAGCGAAAATGTAAGCTAGGCAACAATTGTTTTCCTTTTCCTCAGTGTCTTTACTCCGCGTGGAGTCTATGGCTATTAGAACCTACTCTCTGGAAAAGATCTGATAAGCGATTTACCCCTTAGTGTGAATCTAAGTCAACAGAATTGTTTCTCTTCTGAAGATATTTTTGCATTTTAAGTATTTGTTAGGAAGTGTGGTCCCTTGTTAAAGGAATTTCAAGAAACTATTCCTAGGTAGAAGGATTAGGGGCGAGGAACTTCCCAACTACTCACTCCTCACTGGGGAGTTTTTTAGGGTCAAAAGGATAAGAATAGGGTACCCTAGCAGGAATGTCTAATGAGTATTTTGGGGATGGGTCAACCATGAATTTTGTTTTGCCATCTTCTGGGAATTTGATGTATTGAGTTACAAAGCAAAGCCTTATAGTTTTGGTTTTGAAGAGCATACATTTGGAAGTCTGGAAGTCTGGATACATTCTTAGAATGAGTTTGGTTTTTGAGAAGATACTATACAAATGTGAGAAAACATCTGTAAATTCTACTTACGTATAAAATCTTTAGCAGGAAATATGTAGTTTTGGTCCAGTAATTTTGTATCTGTGATATTATTATTATTATTTCATGAAAGAGATCATTATTCAAATTCCTCTCATGAGATTCTTTCTCACCCTCATCTTTAATCATCTTAGTAAAATAGGAGAAATGAAAGCGTGAGAGCAATGAGAACAACTTTAAGAAGTCTCTGTAAAGGATTCTGTCCTTTCTGGAGTCCTGTCATTCATTCATTCATTCATTCATTCATTCATCCATTCATTCATCCCACAAACAGTGACCATCCATCTATGCTGGGTCCTGGCCTAGGTTCAGAGCAGAATAAAGAGGGCTCGCTGATGCCCTTGAGTACCTCCAATGCAGCAACAATCTTCTTCAAATGTTGACCCTCAGAGCAAGACTTTATTTACTGCGCATATCAGTTGTGTCCTTGGCCATAAATTAACCATGACATTTTGCTGTAAGTGCAGTGTGTGTGAAAGCCTTCTGCGTGCTGTTGGCTGGGTGTTGTTTGCATAACGTATTGACCGTGCATGTTCAAACAACACCAAGGCAGATCATTAATACCAGGTACAGTTACTGAAATGAGGCCCCTGAGAACCTCTTCTCTTTGTAACCTGAATTGCTAATTTTTTGAGCTTTTGTTGAAAGCAAATGGCTGGTTTTCTTTTTACTTCTCTTTTTAAGTTGTTTCAGCCATTCAAATCATTAGAAATGATTCGGCGAAGCTTTCTGAGCCACAAATGCAATCTTTTCTAATGAGATGATGCAAAATCTAAGAGAAAAAAAATCCCAACAGGAAACCATGATTTGCTGACACTGAATGTTCTTTTTTCAATAAAGCAATTTAATAGGGTTGTTATTCAACGTAGTAGTTCTATGACAAGTAGTTCTATGACTAATGCGGTTATACACAACAAAATGTTCTCGCTGGGTTCATAGGGAATGTCCTCTCTCTGGGCCTGAGTAAGTTTCCTCATATGTACAACAAGTTCGTAGTTTTAGAAAAGAAAAGGAGATTGGTACTCTCTTTCAGGACAGGAGCTTTGGGGCTGCTGGGAAAATTGTTTTCTTCATCTGCATGCTGATTTTACAGGTCTGCTCACTCTATGAAAGTTTTTTGAGCTATACTTATATAGTGTGTATGTGCCCTTATCTGTTTGTATTATAGTTAATAAAAGAGCTAAAAAGTGAACACCTAAAATAATTAGGTCAATTATGAAGAACAAGGCACCCGATCAGATATCAAGACTTATAAAGCTGTAATAAATAAGACAGTGTGGTAATGATGTGCAGAGGGATAATAAATCAGAATAGAATCCACACCCACACTCACACACAGATACGTATGTATAAATTTGCTAAGTGATAGAGAACACATCACAAGTCAGTGCAGAAAGCATGGGTTATTCAGTAAATGGTGTTGGGAGAACTGGTTTTCCACTTAAAAATATAAAATTAGTTTCTGACTTCACATCAAGACAAATTAAAGGCTATATGTGAAAAGAAATATATTTAGAGAATATCTTTATGGCTTTGGAACTCAGGAAGAAATTCTTAAATAAAATTCTAAAACACAAAAACAATTTAATTGTACCATATTAAAATTAAGGTCCTCTGTATACCAAATTAAACAGTGAATGCAAAATGCAGACTGGGAGGGAAGATTTGCAAAAGATATAACAGGAAAAAGATGAATGTGTAGAAATGAAAAGTATTCATGAGAATCAATAAGAAAAACCACCAATAAGTGAGCAAGATATATACAGAGGAGCAATAGCAGATATGAAAAGATGTTTAACCCACAGTTATCGGAGAAGAGCACATTTAAACAAGGCACAATTTCATAACCTTCAAATTGCTGACATACAAAAAGCCTGCAAATTCAAGCTGTTAGGAAGAGTGTATCGAAAGGAGAAGCAGCATGTGCTGCTGCTGGGATGGTAAACAGGTTCAAGCATCTTGAAGAGCAATTTGATAACATCTAATAATTTTGAGCTATTTCACTTCTGTAGTCTAGCCATGCTGTAAAAAATGTGCTTCATGGACCAGAGCGTCCTTGTCACTTGGGAGCTCGTTAGACCAGGAGTATCTCAGGTCTTCCCGGAGTCCTTCTGATTATACATTTTAACGAGAGCCTCAGGTGGATCACAGGCACATGAAAGGTTGTAGGAGCGCTGATCTGGCAATTTCTCACGCAAGTACACAGGGGACACTTACAAGTATTGCCTGATTGAAAGAAAAATGGGTAATCACCTAAATGAATGATATTTCAGGAGATATGAACATGGGGAAAATTAATCAATGTATGTTCCTTTAATGAAATACTATAGGGTGGGGTTTGACCACTGTGAGCTGTGGGCCAGATCTGGCCCATTATCTGTTTTTGCAAATAAAGTTTTATTGGAGCACAGCCACATGCACTCATTTCCATAATATCCAAGGCTGCTTCCCCACTCCAACAGCTGAGGTGAGTAGTTGTGGCAGAGAATGTATGGCCTGCAAATTCTAGAATGTTTGGTCCTTTATTATCTCCTTTCCAGAAAAAGGATACTGACCCTGTTTTATAGAGCTAAAGCTATATGAATCAGGGTGACTACATCACAAGAACTTAATGTTGAGAGACAAGATTAATATACACATTATACTTTTCCGATGGCATTTTAGAACATGTAACAGCAAAGACATACAAACATAATTAGAAAACAGCACAATATTGTTTACAAATGAGTGAGTGAGTGAGTGTGTGTGTGTGTGTGTGTACTAAAAGAATAATGCACATATGTGTAGTAAAAATATAAAAACATGAATGGGAGAGC